TTTCCTAACTCTGTAGCCTCTGGGGGATAAATACAAACGTCTCCGTACCGATCCCTCAGACTCTACTAAGCTTGTCCGTGAGTTGTGAGACCTATGTAACCTAGAGCTCTGATACCAACTTGTCACGACCCGGATTTCCCACCCTCGGGAGTCGTGATACCGCCTACTAATGTGAGCTAGGCAAGCCAATTTAATCTACCTTTTTGCAACAATTACCAACCATTTAATAAAATCAAACATAATGACATAAAGCGGAAGTCTCAACATATATAATAAACTGAAAGAGATACGGAAGTCTAACAGAATCCTCTACCCAAGAACTGGAGTCACAACCTCACGAACGTATATAGAATACTACACCCAAAGTCTGAATAAAACACAATATTGTTCGATCCGGTACAAAGGATAACAAATCAAAGTAAAGATAGAAGAGACTCCGGGCCATGCGGACGTCTGCAAGGCTACCTCAAAATCTCTGGAATGAAGTTAGATCCCAATCAACTACTGCTGTCCGAAAGCTGCTGCTCCGGTACTGATATCTGTGCAAAAAGATGCACAAGAGTGTAGCATCAGCACAACTGACCCCATGTGCTGGTAAGTGCCTAACCTAACCCCGGCGAAGTAGTGACGAGGCTAGACCAGACTACCAGATAAACCTGTGCAGATATAAATAGAAGTACAACAAAATAATAGCGCAAAGTAAACAAGAAGTAAGAAGTGTATAAAAAGGGGGAAAACATGCTATGGGGAGGCAACCATTAAAACAAGAAGTCTAAACTGAAGGATAGAACAGCCAACAGAATCTTAATCTGGAATAAACACACTTAAGCTATAATTTGTTGCGGCACGCAACCCAATCCGATCACATACAATGCTGTTGCGGCGTGCAACCCGATCCTCAATCATCACTGTTGCGGCGTGCAACCCGAACCATAAGTATACAGTGTTGTTGCGGCGTGCCACCCGATCCACAATTATATAGTGTTGTTGCGGCGTGCAACCCGATCCACAAATATATAGTGTTGTTGCGGCGTGCAACCCGATCCACAAATATATAGTGTTGTTGCGGCGTGCAACCCGATCCACAAATATACGACTGTTGCGGCGTGCAACCCGATCCACAAATATAAATAACACAACCTCACCCAATCAACAATCACAAACAATGAGGGCGGGGGATAGACAACAGTAATAGAAATCCCGGCAAGGGAAACACAAGTAAAAAGTTAAACCCCGACAAGGGAGAAAATCAACAAATACAATAACACGTCCTGGCAAGGGAGTAATCATCAACTCTTTCTCTTTCTTTCATTTCTTACTTCACGATATCACTTGAGCCCAAGCTCCAAGAAATTTCTTATCTCATATACCGTCACAAACAACAATATAACGACATCCCGGTAAGGGAACAAAACATCATCTCAAATATCCCGGCAAGGGAATTACTATAACCACACTAGTTCCAACATCTAACTACCACAACTATAACCAAACTTGTTCAAACATCTAACTACCACAGCTATAACCAACCTATTACAACACTTAACCACCTCAGCTATATCTAACCTACTACCACACTTAACCACCTCATCTATAACTATAGTCATCACACAACACAAGGAAGCATTAACCTAAGCGACCTTAGTATCAGTTAAGGACACAATATAGAGGAATCACCACTCAACAATAGCCCGCCAAGAGGGCAACATAATGATCTCTTCTCTTTCTCACTTTTACTTCACAATTCTCTTCACAACTTCGAGAAAATGCTCCAGAGGTTCAATTATCACTTATACTTTCGCAATTCGTTCTACAACTGGAGCCGACGCTCTTCAATGTTCATAAATCGCATTTCTTTCCACAATTTTACACAACAAACAGAAATACACACCAAAGCATGGATAATACAACGAAACCATGAAAGTCACAATATCAGACTCACGGTCATGCTAGACACCAATGTATAGATACTCGTCACCATGCCTATACATCGTACTCAATCAATTAGCAAATAGCAAACAAGACTCAACTCCTATTCCCTCAAGCTAGGGTTAAACCAAACACTTACCTCAACTTCCACGGCCAAATCAATCCACAACGATCGCTTTCCCTTTCGAATTCGGCTCCAACTCAATCAAATCTATACAATAAGGACTTCATAATATTAATAATAGCTAAACAAACTAAACCCAATGCCTAAATATGAATTTCTAAGCTTTCATCCCAAAATTCCAAAATCGCCCCCGGGCCCGCTTGGCCAAAACACGAGGTTCGGACCAAAATTAAACCCCCCATTCATCCACGAGCCCGAATATATAATTTATTTTCAAATCCCACCCCAAAACGAGGTCTAAATTAAGAAAAAGTAAAAAGCCCTAACTCTACCCATTTCCCCCAATTTCCACCCTAAACTACATGATTTAAGCTTAGGAATTCAATAATTAATGATGGAAAATGAAGAAAACAAGTTGGAATTTACTAACCCAAGTGATCTTGAAGAAAAGGGGCTTCAATGAATCCTAAGTGCTTGGGGGAGAAGAGAGCTCGTGTATTTTTTCAAAGAAACCCGTAGCTACTGTTCTGAAATTTAATATAACTGGGCAAAACTTTGCCCTTGGCGTTCGCGTGAAGTAAGTCGCGTTCGCGAAGGGTAAACAGGGTTGGCCAACGCGAACGCGGAAGGTGAAGCGCGAACGCATAGAAGGAATTGGTTGGGGTCCAAGAGATTGGCCTACGCGAACGCGTTGGCCTGTACGCGAACGCGATGGGAAGGGGCTGGGGACCTACGCGAACGCAGTCCGGCCACCGCGAACGCGAAGAAGAAAAGAGGGCTGGGCCCTCAAAGTTCCATAACTCTAAGCGAACGCGGACTAGTGATGCGAACGCGATGAAGGAACAAAATGAAGCATCGCGAACGCGTGAGGGAGAGTGCGAACGCAAAGAAGGATTTACCTGGGCACCTGTTGCAGATTTTCTGCAACATTTCTAAGTTCAAAACCACCCCGAACACCTCCGAAAACACTCCCGAGCCCTTGAGGCTCCTAACCAATCACACAACTACTCAACCACATCCTACGAACTTAACCGTGCGATCAAATCGCCAAAATAACATCATAAACGAGGAATCAAACCTCAAAAACAACACTTTTTCATCAAACTACATAAACTTTCATTTTTAGATATTTAGGTCCGAAACACGTCAAACGACGTCCGATTTCGACCAAATTTCACAGGAAGCGCTTAAACCACATATAAGACCTGTACCGGGCGCCGGAACCAAAATACGGCCCCGATACCAACACTATCTAATCCATTTTCATTTCAAATTTTCATGTTAATTTTAGAAAAACAATTTCTTTTAAAAATTCATTTCTCGGGCTCGGGACCTCGGATTTCGATTCCGGGCATACGCCCGAGTCCTATATTTTTCTACAGACCCTCCAGGATCGTCCAATCACGGGTCCGGGTCCGTTTACCCAAAATGTTGACCCAAGTCAACTTTAATCATTTTAAAGCCACATTTTGAAATTTTTCACGGAATTTAACATATAAACTTTCCGGCTACGCGCCCGGACTGCGCATACAAATCGAGGCAAGTAAAAATTGAGGTTTTCAAGGCCTCGGAAGCACGGAATGCAAGAGAAAACAGGTGATGACCCTTTGGGTCGTCACATTGACAAACTCTTTCTCCACTAGTATAGGATCAGACACCTTGTCTCCCAGGTAAGTGTAGATAGAGTTTATAGTAGTTGTGTTTGTCCTCAGCTTCAACTGTGCATGGAAATACTTTGAATTTGAATCTCCACAAGCTATCCAGTGTGCTCTAGATTTTTGATGTAGAATCTGTTCCTCTATGCTGCTCCATTTCTCTACTTCCATCAAAGCCATTTTTTCTTGATCAATCAACCCTTGATCCATGTGTTTGTGTTTTAGTTCACTCTGAATTGCTTCAAGTTTCTGCCTGGCCTTATTGAGCTGAAGCCTATAAGAAGCCATGTAAGTGTTCAATTCCTTCAGTTCAGTTTTCAGACCTTTAAGCTTATTCCACACCCTGTGCATGTTGCCCCCATTTACCTCTTGATTCCATACCTTTTCTACTATGCCTGCAAAGTCAGCATGATCCATCACAGAGCTATACAATTTAAAAGGTTTAGGATGTAGGTTCCTTTTTTGATCCACAGCCTTGCATTGTAATAGAATAGGGGAGTGGTCTGACACCTCTGGATTTAAGAAATTTGCTTTAATATGACTGTACTTCTGCATCCACTCAACATTCCCCAGTGCCAGTCAATTCTACTGTATACCCTCTTTTCTAGTTGTTGTTTGTTACACCAAGTATAGAACCATCCCAAACTCTTCAATTGTGTGAGCTGCAGGGTAATAATTGCATCCTGGAACCCCTTGATCTCACTTTGTGTAACTGGAGCCCCTATCCTATCATCAGTGTGGAGGACATTATTGAAGTCTCCACTAAGTAGCCAACTCTCCTTAATATTTTCTCCTAATTTCACATGTTTATCCCATAGCTGGTGCCTTTTGTTTACCTCATTACTTGCATACATCACTGTTATCAAAGTCTTGAAAGTGGAGCTTCTTTCTTGGACTTCACAATGTATAAATTGTTCATCAAGCAACAGTATCTGCACCTCAACATTTTGTTTCCACAATAATCCTTCCATTTGGGTGTTCCTTATAGTTACAATAGAATCTCCAATCACTGCACACTTTATTCATTATCCTGTTAGCCTTCATTTCCTTTACTCTTGTTTCTAAACAACCTATAAACTCAACCTTATGTTTCCTCAGAAAGATTTTTAACTCTTTCTGCTTATGGGCCTTGTTCAGACCCCTTATATTCCAAGTGCATAGGATCATTTTTGGGTGAAGCTGGATGGGCCAGCGTCCCCTGGATCATCTTCTATCTGCAGCAATGAGATCCCTTACTCCAAGCTGGACCTTATACATATCACAACAAGCCTTTTGTTCTGCAACAATGGAGAATGGACTTCAAATTCGATCCAGGAAGTGTGAGTGTGATTCCCTTGTGGATCACATTTCCAGGTCTACCCCTGGGATTTTGGTCTACAGAAGCACTCAGCAAACTAGCTAGTGTTGTTGGGAAGCCTTTGTACACTGATAAGATCGCTGCTGAAATGGAAAAGGTATCCTATGCAAGAGTGTTGGTGGAAACTGACATATCCCAACCACTACCAGATAGTTTTGCAATGCAAACTAAGAGGGGAGTAATAATTCAGCAAATTGAATATGAATGGAAGCCAAAGTTCTGTTGTGACTGCATTAGATTTGGGCATAATTCAAACGAATGTTGGCTCAAGGAAATGCAGGAAAAGGCAGTGGAAGTAAAGGTCCAACACAGGGAAGCTTGGAAAAAGAACCAACAGCACAGAGGGACCATGAAATGGATGCCAAAAGAAAAAAGGAAGGATGATGTGATTCAACATACTAGACCTGAAGTGGGCATGCAACAAACAAATAACAAAGGAGATGAGAAGCTTACTGATAGTGAAAAAATGAAGGGGAAAGGTGTCCAGCAAAGTGGATCACTAATTTAATTCCACATATTCAATTAAAAGGTTCACTAATGCTATATCATGAAAGAGGGCATTTCTAAGCTAAAAAATAATGTTAAGGATAATTGTGATCCACTAGATAAAAGAGAGACATTTGAAAGCCTAAAAATAACGTTAAAAGCAATTATGATTCAAATAGATGGAAGGAGGCCATTCTGTCCCTTTTCCGTAAACTAGGTGCCGTCACGATACTTTGCGGAGGGAGTTTTGGATCGTGACAATTTTACTCGTATGTTAAATTTAAAAAAATAATTGAATTGGATTCTCTTGCTAAATAATTAATTAAAAGATTTAAATATTTTCTTTTAACGTAAAAAATTTATTCTATGTTGATTCAAATCTTAATATTAGTTCATATCTTGTTTTGAATTTCAATCTTAATTATAATTTTATCCGCCATAAATTTTATTTTCAAAGAGTAAAAAATTCATATGACATTTCTCTTTTATATCTTTATGTAGAATCTTTAGTGGTATTGACTCTTATCAACCATTTTTTTCTCTTTCACACACATTTATATTCTTAAATATTTTATTAGTTGTTGTTTATTAATTGAGTATTTTTCAATATTACATGAAATTGATATAAAAAATTATTTGAGTAGGAAAATAGTTCAAATATAATATAAAAATCTATTATCGTGGGGGTATTTTTATTTCTCAATTTCAACTCTTTATGCAGTCCATTTAATATTACTTTTATTTTTTCTTTGTATTGGATATTATGGAGTGGTAATGTAATGCCAATACGGAGGATTCTTATGAAATTGATTTTATTAAACCTTCCTACATATTTTTAATAAGAATTTAATAGACAAAATTTATTAATTTAAATATTAAATATTAAAATTTAGCATAGAAGGTATTGTAGTCCAAAAATAGTTTATTGCAGTTTTGTACTTTTCCTATGAGCTCTTCCGTTTAATATTTTAGGGCTATTTTGATATATTAATTTTGTATTTATGCTTTTATACTAATATAGGCTCTCATTTTTCTAAATGGATTTGGACAATATAATATATTCTAAAATTAAATTGGTAATAGGACATTATAATACGTTTTCAAATTAAATTAGTAATAGGAAGTAATAGGATTACATGACTAAAGATATTTACTTGTTCAATTTTATATGACTTAGACGGCCCCAAAGTAATTATACTAATAGGATTCCTAAAGGTAATCATGTAGGATTCTTAACGTGTAGTATTATGTCCTAAAACTAATAGGATTATAAGGCTAATATTTAGAATTCCGGTTATGACATTTTATTAAAAGTTATTATGCTTAATATTATAAAATTATTTTTGTAAACTGATATTGTATCCATGCTTTTATAATAGTGTAGATACATAATAAATGAAAAACAAATAAAATATCACAGTAAAAAATGTACGAAAAGGTGAGAGATATAAATAATTTTAGGATATTTATACTTTGAGTTAATAAAAATAGAATAGATTAAGTAAATAGCATTCAAAAATATTATTGATACTTTAGAAAAGAAGAATTTTGAAAACAAGAGTTTAAAAGAAAAAATTATTTTAGGAGTAAGAAGAAAATATATAAATTTATCTATCTATCTATATCTATATCTATATTATTATAAAAGCACGAATATTTTATGTTAAATGTTGATCGACTTTTATACCCTCAAAAAGGTAAATCACTTTTCAAAGAGATAAAATTCTAAGTTGGGTAAAATTGTAATATTGAAGAATATTCGTGTCACGACCAGGATTTCCCACCCTCGGGAGTCGTGATGGCGCCTACTATTAGGAACTAGGCAAGCCAATTATTTATTACCTCTTTTAGCAAACCTCGACATCATGAAAAAAACAACGAAACATTTACTAGAAAAGCGAAAGTCTTAAATATAAATAAACTGAAAGCAATGCGGAAGTTCAATACAACTCTACCCAAGAACTGGAGTCACAAACTCACGAACGTCTAGAGAATGCTAAATACAATGTCTGAATAAAATATAGTTTTGTTTGTTCCAGTACAAAGGATAACAAACTAAAGTAAAGATAGAAGAAACTCCGGGCCTGCGGACGTTAGCAAGGCTACCTCGGTGTCTCTAGACTGAAGTCAGCTCCCAAATCTACTATTGCTGTCCAAAAGCTGCTCCGGCACCGTGATCTGTGCAAAAAGATGCACAGAGTGTAGCATCAGCACAACTGTGACGACCCGACCCATCGTCACGTGAGTTACCGCCCCGTTTCCCCCATGTTATGCTTCTTCATGTTTCATTATCAGTATTTGATGTGCTAGAGTTGGTTTGGAATGGTTTTGATAAGAAATGAGACACTTAGTCTCTTTTAAGAAGGCTTAAGTTGGAAAAGTCAACCGGATGTTGACTTTTATCTTAGAGGGCTCGGATTTGAATTCTGATGATTTGGTTAGCTTCGGGGGATGATTTGTGACTTAGGAGTGCGATCGGAATTGATTTTGGAGGTTCGGTGTATAATTAGGCTTGAATTGGCGAAGTTAGTATTTTGGCGAATTCCGGTTGGTAGGTGAGATTTTGATCCAGGGGTCGGAATGAGATTCCGAGAGTTGCTGTAGCTTTGTTAGGTGATTTTGGATGTGTGTGCAAACTTTCAGGTCATTCGGAGGTGTTTTGGTTGGGTTTCTGATCGAATGCGTGTTTCGGAAGTTTTAGAAGAACTTAGGCTTGAATTCGATGAGAAATGATGGTTTTAGTGTTGTTTGAGGTGTTTTAATGATTGGAGCAAGTTTGAATAAGGTATTGGATCATGTTTGTATTTTTGGTTGAGGTCCCGAGGGCCTCGGGGTGATTTCGGATGGCTAACGGGAAGTTTTGAACTTAGGAGATTGCAGAACCTGTGCAGCTTCTGGTATTTTCGCTCCTGCGGAAATGGGACCACAAAAGCGGTACCGCAGAAGCGAGTCAAGAACCACAGAAGCGACAGGCATCGCAGGTGCGGAGATGCTGACCGCATCTGCGGTGTCGCGGATACGACAGTAGGATCGCAGATGCGGAATTTTGGAAGGCTAAAGGAAACCGCACCTGCGTAAAAGGAATCGCAGATGCGAGACCGCAGAAGCGGTCTAGTAACCGCAGAAGCGGTCTTGTCTGCAGAAGCGGCTCCCCATCGCAAAAGCGAAAGTCGCAGATGCGGCTATGTAGCCGCAGATGCGGAAATAACTGGTCAGAAAGGGTTTTAATTCCCTTCGCGAAATATTTACAGAACACATATTTTGACTTCGGACTTGGGGTGTTCTTGAGCGATTTTGAAGAGGAAATTCAAGGACTTCGATCTGGTAAGCATTCTTGGACTTAGAACACAATGTTATCATGCAAATACATGAAATTTCACTGAAAACTCAAGGAATTAGGGTCAAAAATGGTGGTTTAGGGCTCTGATACCAAAAAAAATTACGAATAAAATAATAAAGATAGATGGGAGAGATCAGGGCTGCGAACGCCATGCAGCTACCTCGATACTCCCGGATAATGCTGCTCAGCTAACACGACTCCTCACTCACCCTGTGGTATCTGCACACAAGGTGCAGGGAGTATTGTGAGTACTTCCAACTCAGGGTTCTTCTGCGCCGAGTGCACCTGCTAGTCACTCCGGTGCAAGAGGTTTTCATCAGTCCCCATCTTCAGTACCGGGCAGCTGCTATGAGTGCGGAGAGTTGGGTCATTTTAGGAGGCAGTGCCCTCGCCTTCGTGGCAGACAGCATCAGTAGAGGGGTCAGCCCTCGACTTCTGCTCCAGTTACTTCACCACCCGCCCAGTTAGCTAAGGGTGGAGATCAGGCAGCCAGGGGCCGCCCCAGAGGTGGAGATCGATCAGGCGGTGGCCAGGCTCGTTTCTACGCGATGCCGGGCAGGACAGATGCCATTACTTCAGACACTGTCATCATAGTATTATTTCAGTCTGTCACAGAGACGCCTCAGTATTATTTGATCCCGGTTCTACCTATTCATATGTATCTTTATACTTTGCTCATCATTTGGGTACGACCCGAGGGTGTCTTGCCTTACCTGTTCATGTGTCCACCCCGGTGGGCGACACTATTATTGTGGACCATGTATACCGGTCGTGTTTGGTGACTATTGGGGGTCTGGAGACCCGAGTTGATTTATTGCTATTGAATATGGTAGATTTCGATATTATCCTGGGCATGGACTGGTTATCTCCGTGTCATGCTATTCTAGACTGTTATGCTAAGACAGTCACTTTGGCTATGCCGGGTGTACCGCGGACCGAGTGGCGTGGTGTGACTGACTATATTCCTAGCAGAGTTATTTCTTTCTTGAAGGCCCAGCGCATGGTTGAAAAGGGTTGTCTTTCCTATTTGGCGTTTGTGAGAGATGTGGGAGCTGAGACTCCTAGCATTGAGTCGGTTCCCGTTGTGAGGGAGTTTCCCGATGTGTTTCCTGCAGACCTATCGGGTATGCTGCCGGACAGGGACATTGATTTTGGCATTGACCTGGTGCCGGGCACTCAGCCCATTTCTATTCCACCATATCGCATGGCACCAGCGGAGTTGAAAGAATTGAAGGAGCAGCTTCAGGAGCTCCTGGATAAGGGGTTCATTTGGCCTAGTGTGTCACCTTGGGGTGCACCAGTTCTATTTGTGAAAAAGAAGGATGGCACGATGAGAATGTGCATCGATTATAGGCAGTTGAACAAGGTAACAATTAAAAACAAGTACCCCTTACCTCGCATTGATGATTTATTTGACCAGCTTCAGGGAGCGAGGGTGTTCTCAAAAATTGATCTCCGTTCGGGTTACCACCAGTTAAAAATCAGGGACTCAGATATTCATAAGACTGCTTTCAGGACTAGATATGGTCACTATGAATTTCTTGTCATGTCTTTCGGGCTGACCAATGCCCCAGCAGCTTTCATGCACCTGATGAACAGTGTGTTCCGGCCTTACCTGGATTCATTTGTCATAGTATTCATTGATGACATACTGGTATACTCGCGCAGTCAGGAGGAGCACG